CAATCATACAGGAGTGTCACCAAATCAATATGGAAATGCAAGAATTTCAACATACGCCATTGAATGACATTAAAAAATTGGTTTCTGTTGCAGCTACAAGACCACTCTTCGAGGCTCTATTCGTATTTCAACGTCCAGATGCCAACGAAGAGCAGTTATCGAATATGCTACAAAAGACAACATTTACTAGGAAGCAGCCTATAGATGCAGATGTAAGTGAAGAGGAACGATTTCGAATAGAAGTCAAGCTAACTATCATGTAGTATCCGATAGCACTCGAAGCTACTCTGAATCACGATAGTACCAAGCTTGTGTTGAATATGGTCGTAGAGAGCTCAGTTGTGTCGGAAGAATTGGCAAGCCTTGTGTTCATGAAGATGGATAACACCCTTCGAACTATTCTTCCCGGTAACGGTAAAGCGACACGAATGGTTGGGACTGAACCTTTTCATCCGGTCGAATTATTTTTTTCAAAAGCCCTTCGTCAGCTAAAGTTTAGCAACAATTCAAGTCACATACAGTCATCTTCAGAACCATTACACCCATTTACGCTCTCACGCAAAATACCTTTAACCAAAGAAAAAAGTGATGTTGTTTGCAAGGAGATTGCGATTTTGGCCAAGGTTGATAAAATAGATATCCATGATCCTAGATCTATATTTGAACTTGGACTTGATAGCATCGATGTAATCAAGTTGTCTTCACGTCTGCGAAAGAACGAGATTGTGATATCTGTCAGTGGCATCATTAAATGTCAAACGATCACCAAAATCATAGAAGCTGCGACGCTTTCCAAAGAACTTTCATCCGAAAAATTATCTACCGAGAGACTCATGGACATTAGTCGCGAGCTTGGTGAGTATCTAAAGCCTAGGCTTCCTACAGACCTCGAATCCATTTTACCGGCTACACCTTTACAAGAGAGTATGTTAAAGGAAATGGTTACTTCCAATTTCAAGAGCTATTTGACCCTCCAGATTTTCGGACTGAGTGAAAAAACTCAGGAGAAAAGACTGTTGGATGCTATTGATCTTGTTATTGAAAAGTCGCCAATTCTGAGAACGACCTTTCTTGAAGTTCAAGACCCACAGTCTCCCGTCAACTATGCACAGATTGTCCACAAAAAATGGAAAAAGATAGGCGAAGAATATCCATTTACTATTGTAAAAGGTTATGCGAGGCTCGGAACCCTTTTCAAAATTGCAGAAAACAGATTAAGAGCACGCATGTTGTCGACAGAGCGCCAATTGTTTGGAATAATCCCTGTCCATTTTGAGAACAGGAGATTCCTCGTAATGGGGATTTCACATGCACTCTACGATGGGAAATCACTGCCGATGATACACGATGACATTAGCAAAGCTTATAGGGAGCAAACGATTGCTAGCCGTCCAGATTATAGACCGTGCCTCGCAGAGATCTTCAATGCTGACAGTCATGAAGCAAAAGACTTCTGGAAGGCTACACTGTGGAATTCGCCGCCAGCGATATTTCCAAAGCAAAAGTTATCACCAGCTGACGAAACTACGACTTACCGATGTGAGAAGCATTCCAAGTTCTCTCTAGAGGAAATTAGAAGTTTCTGTCGCTCTTCTAATATTACACTGCAGACTCTAGGACAAGCATGCTGGGCTTTAGTTCTTGCAGAACTCATGGGTCAATTTGATGTTGTATTTGGCACCGTGCTTGCCTGTCGTGATACAAATGATACAGCCAGCGAAGTAAATTTCCCACTGTTCAATACTGTGGCAGTTCGATCAGTAATTCGTGGAACGGTGGGTCAAATGCTTCGGGATATGCAAGAAAAGAGTGATATGACTCGTCAATTTCAACAATTTCCCCTTGGGAAAGCTCAAGCACTTGCGCTTGGCTCTCGAGATCATTCAACCAAAGATACCACTTTATTCGACACATTATTCACATATCAAGGTGCTCGACTTGAGGATGAATCTGATCCATTATATTCGTCATTTGGTGGTTCTTCAGATGTTCAATTCGCAATTTGTGTTGAAATGGAGGTTGAAAATAAAACTGATCGTTTTTACTGGACAACGGCTTGTAAGTCTGTGGCTAGAAATCTCTCGCAGACCAGAGACATTCTCGAAAAATTAGACAAGGTTCTTGGGAGAATCATGGAAGACAAGCAAGAACAGATTGTTACAATTCACAGCGACGGAGTCTCTGTATGCGGATCTCCAAAATTTCAACTTCGAGAAAGTCCCAATCTGCAGAAAAACTCCGAAGTATCTTCTGCTTGGTCTCAAATAGAAATGGATCTCCGAACATCAATCTCTATCGTTTCAGGTGTCCCCGAGGAAGATATCCTTAAAGACTCAACAATATTTCAACTGGGTTTAGATTCAGTTACAGTCCTCAAGCTTCCGGCACATCTCAAGAACTACAAACTTCATTTGACTGTTTCGGAAATCATGAGACATCTCACAATCCAGGATATGGCTGATCATTTGCTTGGGAAACAAGACCTGGACTCGAATACTCCTGCTAATGTCGAGGTCGATGTTGATCTCATCCTGGTTCAATCTACGCCATCCATCGACCAGGTTCAGCTCAAGCAATTGATTGATACTTCGGGCGAGATAGACTACATTATGCCCGCAACGGCAGGTCAAACATATATGATCAGACATTGGCAAAACTCTCAAGGATCTCTCTTTCAAGCAACTTTTGAGTTCAAGTTATCTAGCAGCTACGATCCACGGCTGCTCGATTTTGCTTGGTATAATTTGCTACTTCAGCATGATATTTTACGAACTGGTTTCATTGACTTAGATTCAACCATCGTTCAAGTTGTTTACAAAGAACCGACAAGTATAATAGAATATGGTGAGGAGCGACCTAGTCTTCAACAGCGATGTACCCTTCAAGATCCGCCAATAAGTCTTTTTGTCATCACTTCACCGAATAGTTCGGGACAGGTTGAAATGCACCTAGTTATTCATCATGCTCTTTATGATGGAATCAGCATCTCCTTATTGTTTAAGAAATTAATGGCTTGGTATAATCACGCGGATACCATGGCTAGGTCCACGTCTACAATCGCCAAAAATAGATGGAAGACATTTGTTGCGACGGCAATACAGGAAAAAAGTAATCCATCCGTGAGAGATCAGTGGATTGATTATCTTGGTACGGCTTCCTATAGTCAGCCAAGCCCTGATTCTGATCTCGAATTTGAGGTTATAGGACCGGAAATCAGGAAGCCTAGTCGAGTCGAAGTTTTCAAACCTGGTTTACCAGCCAAAGGTGTCAAGACACGTGCAAAAAATGCAGGCGTCTCTATTGATCACATACTTATCGTTCTAGCGTCGACAGTCTTAATCGATCAACAAAATAAGAATGATGAGGATGCTGAAGAAGGTCTCATCGTTGGTCTATATTTAGCCAATCGCTTTCCATTTTCACAGAATCTTTCTACAATGATGGCACCTACCCTCAATCTATTGCCAATCAAAATCGTGCCAATGGATCGAGATGATGATGATGATTTAGCGATATCAGAGTTGGCCAAGAATGTGCAGAAGGATTTAGCTAAGATTAGTAGAGGAGGAATGGCTAACGTTGGACTGGACGAAATCTACCAGTGGACTGGTGTGAAAGTGCATGGATGGATCAATATTGTTAAAAACGTTTCTCATCACGGTGCGAAGACAGATGAAGAAGACTCCGAAGAGATGTCGGATTGGGAAGTTGTTGAAGACTTGAATGGAAGTACGGCAAAGGAGCATGAGATGCCTCAAGGAGAGTCCGGTTCAAAGTCTGTGAAGGATAAGCAAGAAAAAACGACTGGAGATGATCTGTTCCAACCACTGTTTGATACGGAAGGATATGCTAGAGTGGTGAGGCCAAAGAGGGATCGGAATATGTTTGTTAGGCAGGATTTGGGGGCTTATCCTGTGAGTTTTGATTTCGATTTTTGTTTCCATTTATTGACACTCCTTGTCATTGCTCTGTTCTTCTACTTCACCCTTTAAAAGACTACTTACTAATTTTTGGTTACTCATAGCCATCGATCGATATAGAAATTCGCTATCATCCCGAGAATGAAACAATCGATGTTGGAATCTTTGGGCCGGATGATATGTTTAGTCTTTCGCAAGCCGAGGAGTGGATTAAAATGCTTGCAATGTTATGTTTTTGAGATGGGAGATCAGGAATTTCATTGTCGTTAGGGTTATAACGGGGGGAGGGAGATTCCGTTTACTTATATTTTCTGATTCGGGATAAATGCTTGATGGGATTAGATTAGACATTGTTTTTCTTTTACCATGGAGTTATATGATATGGATAGTAGAGTTTTTGAGAATCAGTCTTGTAGTTAGATATTCCACTATAAATTGTATTGGTCTTTGTATACTCGTGATCGCTTTTCTAGCATTTTGGATCTTGAATAGTCGTACAAAGTAGATTCTGAGGATAAACCCACTTTTTCACTTGACATGTCTGTATCTATGTATCGTAATACACGGCTATATTATCTATCTTGTAATGATTGTCATTTAATTTGGGTCTCATGTCTTCATGTAGTATTATACTTAGTTTCCCGATTAATACTCCGTCGTATGTATCTCTCTCTATTCTGTAAGGTAGACGACGATCACTTCGTAGCATGAGATCTGTGATTATACCTCGTTATTATTATTAAATGTTAATTTGTAGGAGCTTTATTCTGTTGAGTGAGTTATGAATATCATGATTTGATATTTAGATTCACTAAAAAGACTATATTGATAGCAATTAGACATCTTTTCATCCAGCGATATATAATACTCACTATCCTCGCTATCATATTGGAACTTCAGACAGGCTATGTAAGGTAACCGGTTAGATTACCCCACTACTTTCTTCAATGATGACGCCAATGATTTGACGGACCGTGCCGCACCTTCAACCAAAATAAACTGATCAATACTCTCATCAACATTTTGTAGTGGTATATCAACTTGACTTCGTCTTCCCAATACCATACAAAGAGAGTAATCATGTCTCTCGCACAATTGCAAAACCTCTTACCTCTACCAGAGGAAGATTTAAAGCAAGTAATAGACTACGCAAACACACTTTCTAAACCCGCCGCTCGAGATCATTTCATCGATCTACTAGGAGAATCACCTGGAAGCATCGAATTCATCTCTTCATTCAATTCCAGAAGACAAGATCCTACTGCGAAAGCCACTCCACCACAGGCACAAACATACTCACAAGCTTCAGCACAATCTTCAACACAAGGTTCTACATCCGGCGTCCCTAAATCAACCCGAGGTCCTAAGAAGAAGGCTCCCATTCATACACCAGCACCACGACAAGTGCAAGAGACATATACAGGGCAGGGAACCGCATACAAAAAGAAAGACGAAGATGACTATGTATCCCGCAAATCCACACCTGTATCCTCCTCCAAAGCCTCAGCATCTCCCAATGCCTTCACTCTCGACCCTACCCCCTCCGCAATCCAAGCACCCATTCCTCGCCCCCCTCCCTCAGCAGCCGGCACCCTGATATCTGATTTCGGCAAGAAATCCAAATCTAGCGCCTCCTCTCGCGCCGCCTCTCAAAACCCCTCTCGCAATGCCTCGCCCGCCCCAAAAACAAAAATAAACATCACCGGCGGAAACGCCATGCACGGCGCCTCAACCGTCCTCTCCGATCTCGACGCCGCAATCCGCACCCTGGAAATCTCGACCAATGCTTCGCTGACCTCGTCGGATCCCGCAAAACGGAGATGCAATTGTATAGCCACGCGACATCCATTGCTGGCCGCGGCGCCAAATTGTCTCGCGTGTGGAAAAGTCATCTGTGTGAAAGAGGGACTGGGTCCTTGTACTTTCTGCGGAGCAGATATCCTGGGAAAAGACGAAATCCAATCCATGATCCGCACATTGCGGGAAGAACGCGGAGTGGAAAAACAACGTCTAGACGCCTCATCGCATCGCCGCGCCGAGGTATCCCGTACACCTGCGCCCTTTTCGGCACCCAAAACTAATGACATGACGCCTGCGGAACAAAAAGCAAAAGAACATCGTGATAGGTTACTGGGGTTCCAGGCCCAGAACGCGAAGCGTACAACGGTTCGAGATGAAGCTGCGGATTTCGATACGAGTCTTGCGGCGAGTGTGGCGGTCGGAGGCGGAAGTGGGATGGGGGGGATGTGGGCGAGTCCTGCGGAGAGAGCGAGGGAGTTGAAGAGGCAGCAGAGGGTTTTGGCGGAGCAGGAGTGGAATGCCAGACCGGAGTATGAGAAGAGGAGACAGGTTGTTAGTGTGGATTTGGTGGGCGGGAAGATTGTGAAGAGGATGGCCAAGATTGAGGCGCCGAAGTTTGAGAGTGAGGGGGAAGAGGAGGTGGAGGATTTTCAGGCGCTGGAAAATGCGGGTGGGGGAAATGTCGGAGGAGGCACGTTTAGTAGAAATCCGTTGTTGGGGGGTCTGATTAAGCCTGTTTGGACCGCGAAGAAGGTAGAGGGAAAGGGCAAGGAGAAGGAGACTGAAGGAGATGGTGGTGATGGCGAGGGAGAAGTTGTCAGGAAGAAGAAAACATGGAGGAGGGTACAAGATGATATGGATGATAATGAAAATATTATATTGGACGGTGGAGCTTTTGGTGGGAGCGAAGGGAAGGAAAATAGAAGAGAAGGCGCAGAGGAACATGCTATTGGCTAAACTCGCATATTTAGACTCGTATATAGATAGACGAGTGTTGAGACAATAGAAAAAACATTCAACCTGCAACTCGTATGAAGACTTCTTTCGATAAGATGAGCTTTTATGTTTGTGTGGGTTAAATTGTACTTTCTAGTAGCATGATGTGGATGTTGGAATCCTGGTTATATATGATAAACACATGCATTTACAATCATTCCACGTTTCGATAATTTGACCCACTATGTGTTGATCATATATTCGTCCGTCTTCTAATAGCTTTTGGAAGCAACTCTGTCTAAATTTATTTTTCCTTTTTTTGGTCCCCTTTCCAGCATTCCTATGTAAATCTTCTCACGACACTTAGACAAAGGACTCATTCACTCTCTGTCGACAACCACTCATGCCTACCCACTACGCCTTCAATTCCTCCATCAACCCCTCCAACGTCTCCCACCCCTTCGTCCCCTCCCAGAAATCCCTCCCCTTCCCCATAACCCCCCTAACCGCACTCCTCGCCTTCGCCTTCCACTTTCCCTCCTCCCCAAAATTCTCATACGCACCCACCAATCTCTCCGTCGTCCCCACAACACTCATCCACAGCTCCTCCTTCTCCAACCACCCCTCCTCATTCATACTCATCCTCCACGCCTTCTCCGCCGCCTCCAGCGCCCCCTTATAATCCCGCTGCCACAATCGCAATTTCTCCACCATCTCGTACAATTCCACCCTCTTCGTAATCAGAGGAATGATATCCCGATCCATCATTTCGATAACAGCTCGCGCGAGGGTTCCCCGCTTGGGCACCCAGATACCTGTTTCCCCCGAGGAACCGACTTCGTCTGTCTTATCCCGACTGACGACTTCGATCACGAGAGAAGAGAGGATATCCATATCGATTGCGTATTCGCCGACATTGGGTGCGCGAATGCGCAGGATGTTGCGCAGACCCATGAGAATTTCGGGGAAAGCAGGGGGACTCATACGTGTAGCGATCGTGATGACGTTGTCCCAGATTTTCCAATTGCCGTGGGCAATGGCCGCGCCTCGTTTGTAGGCCATGAGAGCTTGTCTGAGGATTTCTTTAGGATCATTAGATCTATCGCTTTTGTCCAGCGAAAAGTCAATTTCTTCGTCATCTGGAATATCGGCGGATGCTTCTTCCTTCTTGGCAATTTTTTGCAAGGAAACAAGTTCGTCGTGTTTGGATAGTAGTGCGGAGCCGAGATTGCTGTATGTCTTTGCATCGGTATCATCGATCATGATACTTTGTTGGAAAGCGATAACGGCGCCATCCCAGTTTCCAGTTTTCAGATCGATATCACCGAGTCGAGACCAGGTATCGTTGTTTTGACGATTTACAACCACGGAAGCGAGGTAGGCTTCGCGGGCCGCTGCGAGATCGTTTTTTCGCGTGTAGTAATCTCCAAGTGTGCGTTGAGCACGCGCATAACGTTGTTTGGAGATTTCCCACGCGCGTTGCCAGCAGGTTGGATCTTGGTCAAGATCTCCTAGGATACACCAGAGACGGGGTGCGTGGGGTGGAGGGGGAGTGCGCATTTCTCCATCCCATTGCTCTTTGACGACAGCATCGGCGTCGATGTCGTATTTGTCCATTTCTGCGCCTTGCGAAGAGTAGTAGAGTTGTCTTCGGACAATTTGTCGAGCCTTGTCTTCTTGGGCGACCGAATGATAACATAATGCTACTTCGGCCCACATCTTTAGTCTCTTGAAGATTTCGAGAGCGCTGACGAGGGAGCCGGCATTGGACCATGCGAATGCGAGTTCAGTTTCGATTTCCCATCTTGTGGGTGTGTTAAGTTGATTGACGTATCTCAATCTCTCGGTAACCGGAGCAGATTCGCCAGCTTTGGCTCTTGGAAGGAAAGAAGTTACTTGAATTTGTGGCACTCCGTCGGCATCTGCTGTTGGTGTAGATTCTTGTGTATCGGCAATAATTTGATCTACGATGACTTGTAGTTGAAGAACAGATCTTTCTTGAGTTCTGGATCTATGGGCTTCGATTCTACTTCGGACCAAGAGAGCTTGCGTATAAATTTGCCAATTAGTGGGTTTATCTGAGAGTACACGAACAGCGTATGGTAGGATCTCTTCGCTGTTCAACTTGTCGAGAGGAGACAGAGTATCCTTGAGGGTAGCTTCTGTTAACAAGGCAATCTGGTCCAGAGGATGAAGTTGTGGTTGCTCATCTGGTTTCATGCCAGCTAAAGCTGCCGGCAAACTGGAGCTGTCCACTTTGTCGGACGGTGTTTTGGCAAACTCAATAGACTCCAATAATGTGTCATCGTTCAAATCCAACGCTTGAGGACCAGTTGTGCTTTCGTGCTCGACATCAGATGACAGAGCCTTTTCCTCTGATTTTTCGGCCGATTCCACAACCTTGGTACTCGCATCATCCTCTCTACTCTTTGCATAAACAACCAATTGCGAAATATCAGTCTGCTGAAACTTTGTCCTCTTTCCCAAAGCTCCAGAAAGAGCATACTCAAATCCCGAAACCTCACTAGCTTTCTTCACATTCTCTCTAGCCTTCAAATCCAAGCCTTCCATGATATAAATCTGGGCTTTCTCCAACAACAACATAACCTTCGCATCCGTTCCAAATGGACTTTCCTCCACAAACACCTCATTTTCCAAATCCTTCAAATCCTGTTCAATCAAATCCTGCAAGACCGTCGAATCACTCATTCTCCCATTCATCGAATATCCACTCAACAATCGTTGGTGATAAGCATTGATTCTAATCCTCATCCACTTACAGTCCCAAGTTTTCACCCAAGAACGTCTTGGGAAAACGACCGTAAAGATATATCTTGCCAGGCAAAATAGTTCCACCTTGGGAATATATTGATAAACGCTCACACCATCCACATCCAAACTCCTCAAGCATTTCTCTCTCAGCTCATCGGCATTCCATTCCGAGCTTTGAAAAACATCTCCAAAATCTACTGAAGGTCCCGTAACATTTGTTTGGAGGAATGCGTTAAACGCTGCCAATCCCGTGATGAATGTGTAAAGAATGACTTCCCGATTTTGAAGATTTGCATCTTTGAGAGCAAGAGTTTGATCTTCCTTGGAAAGATGAACGTTCTCTGCTAAGATTTGTATCAGAATCTGCGCAGTGGGCGTACGGAGGACGGCTTTGTAATCTCCACTGAGATAATTTGTGACAATTTCCGATACAGCTTCAAGTTCTTTTAATTGCTCTAAATTGAACAATAAAGCATCCAATGTACCACCTTTGCCGCCGGTAGACAGATCTGAGGCGAAAGACATAATGAATATATTTTTGCTGTTGTTGTATTGGGCTTCAATTCTTTTTTTTTTTCATGTGGGAAAATTTATCAAGGTCGGGTGAAATGATTTGTAAGCGATGATTTCCAAACATCAAGCAATAAATACCTCGTAAATCGGACTTCATATTTTATGTAATTTCATGTACCGGTAGACTTCAAAATTCAATCGTTGAAAGATTCACATATCATTCGAGAAACATTGGAAGAGAACTCACTCATAACATTCATATGCGGTCAACTTTTACATTGATGTTCCTTAGACACTATTCCTACTGCAAAATGTAGTTATTTGCTCTTTCGCTAGTTCAGCAGGTGGTCAGTCAGTCAACATGATAATCATGAATTGATAGATGACAAATAAGAACAATCCAGCCTGCAATACAAAATCGCTATTCAGACAAAGCTATCCATAATACAGAGAGGCTCAATCAGTTACTATCATAGAATCCCTCATTTCTTTCCCTTCTTCTTGGTGGGAACAACTTTGAAACCAGCCGTGGGTTCCTCCTTTGGTGGACCCTTCTTGGCAACTTCACTCCAGCCACCTCCACTGGACTTATCATTCGATCCAGTATTGGCAGGCTCAACAATACCCTTGTCAGCCAATTTGTGGCGACGAATGTATTCCTCGGCAAAGCGACGGCCGTCCATCACACGGGAATTAGTATACACAACATCTGCAATAATACTAGCTTCATCTGGGAATGAAGACAACATATTCATGAAAACATCAACTAGAGATACGTTAGTTCGACAAATGTATTTAAGATCAATTTCAACTCACCATCGATATCAGAATTAAGACCTTCTTTGCCACTCAAAGTAGCCTTTGTCCATTTCTTGAACTCTTCATTGGCAGTATTGCCACCAGCTTGAGTACCAGCCATAGTTACGCTGCGAGCGGATGGTGTTGGTCTTATTGTTCGAACGGCAGGACTAGCTACAGAAGTAGTACTGGCAGCACGAGCTGGGACAGGTGAAGTTGCAGCTGACGGTCCTGTTGGAATCTTAACCTTTCCAGCAGCGCCGACGGTAGACCAGCCTCCTCCCATGGCAGGAGTGGTTACGGATGGCTTGCTTGCCAGATCAGCGTAGCGTTTACCACCTGCAACGGGAGAAGGTTGAGATACTGCTGCAGTAGCCGCAAGCTTCTTCTTGCGCAATTCCTCCTCTCTTTGGATATCTGCGAGAGTCTTCTTGGAAGAAGTTGCAGTTACAGGAGTTTTGGCAGCAACCGGCTTGGCCCAAACAGATGAAGCATTAGAAGGAGTTGTAGGTGTGGCTATGGCACCCCAGGTGGACGTGGTTGGGAGACCTGGAGCTGGTGCAGCTGGTTGACTAGCGAGCATCTTCATTTCTTGCTCGTGTAAAGCACGACGAGCAGCAGCGGCAACCTCCTCTGCTTGAGCAGCCTTCTTTGCTTCGGCTTCTTGAATCTCTTTTAAAGAAGGGCCTTTAGGAGCCTCGACAGGTTGAACAGCCCATGGTGCAAGGGTTGGTCCAGCGCTAACTGCTTCAGGAGTCTCAGAACGCGATTGGACTTCCGCATGTAAGGAATCAGGCAGGCCGGAGCGACCTCCTCGTTGTGCTGTTGGAGCAGGAAGAGGGGTCGTTGATTGTGCCGGAGGGGGGAAAGGCATTGGAAGGCTGGTATTCACCTTGGCCCAAGGAGATTCGGGTTGAGGGGCCGAAATTGGAGATTGC